CAATAAAAACAAAGGATTTATAGAAATGTTGGCCAACTGAAAAGTATGAACATGAAAAGTATGAGCATGTACAGCACTCAGTATTTAGTTGGGCCTCCTTTGGCCTGTATTACTGCAGCAATGCGGCGTGGCATGGAGTCGATCAGTCTGTGGCACTGCTCAGGTGTTATGATAGCCCAGGTTGCTCTAATAGTGGCTTTTAGCTCTTCTGAATTGTTGGGTCTGGTGTATTGCATCTTCTTCTTCACAATACCCCATAGATTTTCTATGGGGTTAAGGTCAGGAGAGTTTGCTGGCCAATTAAGAACAGGGATACCATGGTCCTTCAACCAGGTACTGGTAGCTTTGGCACTGTGTGCAGGTGCCAAGTCCTGTTGGAAAATGAAATCTGCATCTCCAAAAAGTTGGTCAGCTGCAGGAAGCATGAAGTGCTCTAAAACTTCCTGGTATGTGGCTGCGTTGACCCTGGACCTCAGAAAACACAATGGACCAACACCAGCAGATGACATGGCACCCCAAACCATCACTGACTGTGGAAACTTTACACTGGACTTCAAGCAACGTGGATGAAGTGCCTCTCTTCTTTTCCTCCAGACTCTGGGACCTTGATTTCCAAAGGAAATGCAAAATTTACTTTCATCAGAGAACATGACTTTGGACCACTCACCAGCAGTCCAGTCCTGTTTCTCTTTAGCCCAGGCAAGACGCTTCTGACGCTGTCTGTGGTTCAAGAGTGGCTTGACACAAGGAATGCGACAGCAGAAACCCATGTCTTTCATACGTCTGTGTGTGGTGGTTCTTGAAGCACTCACTCCAGCTGCAGTCCACTCTTTGTGAATCTCCCCCACATTTTTGAATGGGTTTTGTTTCACAATCCTCTCCAGGGTGCGGTTATCTCTCTTGCTTGTACACTTTTTTCGACCACATCTTTTCCTTCCCTTCGCCTCTCTATTAATGTGCTTGGACACTGAGCTCTGTGAACAGCCAGCCTCTTTAGCGATGACCTTTTGTGTCTTGCCCTCCTTGTGCAAGGTGTCGATGGTCGTCTTTTGGACAACTGTCAAGTCAGCAGTCTTCCCCATGATTGTGTAGCCGATAGAACTAGACTGAAAGACCATTTAAAGGCTTTTGCAGGTGGTTTGAGTTAATTAGCTGATTAGAGTGTGGCACCAGGGGCCATCAATTTTGAACCTTTTCACAATATTCTAATTTTCTGATATGATGAATTTGAGATTTTCATTTGTTGTCATTTGTAATCATCAAAATTAAACAAAATAAACATCTGAAATACACTATATTGCCAAAAGTATTTGCTCACCCATCCAAATTATTGGAATCAGGTGTTCCAATCACTTCCATGGCCACAGGTGTATAAATTCAAGCACCTAGGCATGCAGACTGTTTTTACAAACATTTGTGAAAGAATGGGTCGCTCTCAGGAGCTCAGTGAATTCCAGCGTGGAACTGTGATAGGATGCCACCTGTGCAACAAATCCAGTCGTGAAATTTCCTCGCTCCTAAATATTCCACAGTCAACTGTCAGCTGTATTATAAGAAAATGGAAGTGTTTGGGAACGACAGCAACTCAGCCACGAAGTGGTAGGCCACGTAAACTGACGGAGCGGGGTCAGCGGATGCTGACGCGCATAGTGCGAAGAGGTCGCCAACTTTCTGCAGAGTCAATCACTACAGACCTCCAAACTTCATGTGGCCTTCAGATTAGCTCAAGAACAGTGCGCAGAGAGCTTCATGGAATGGGTTTCCATGGTCGAGCAGCTGCATCCAAGCCATACATCACCAAGTGCAATGCAAAGCGTCGGATGCGGTGGTGTAAAGCACGCCGCCACTGGACTCTAGAGCAGTGGAGACGCGTTCTCTGGAGTGACGAATCGCGCTTCTCCATCTGGCAATCTGATGGACGGGTCTGGGTTTGGCGGTTGCCAGGAGAACGGTACTTGTCTGACTGCATTGTGCCAAGTGTAAAGTTTGGTGGAGGGGGGATTATGGTGTGAGGTTGTTTTTCAGGAGCTGGGCTTGGCCCCTTAGTTCCAGTGAAAGGAACTCTGAATGCTTCAGCATACCAAGACATTTTGGACAATTCCATGCTCCCAACTTTGTGGGAACAGTTTGGAGCTGGCCCCTTCCTCTTCCAACATGACTGTGCACCAGTGCACAAAGCAAGGTCCATAAAGACATGGATGACAGAGTCTGGTGTGGATGAACTTGACTGGCCTGCACAGAGTCCTGACCTCAACCCGATAGAACACCTTTGGGATGAATTAGAGCGGAGACTGAGAGCCAGGCCTTCTCGTCCAACATCAGTGTGCGACCTCACAAATGCGCTTCTGGAAGAATGGTCAAAAATTCCCATAAACACACTCCTAAACCTTGTGGACAGCCTTCCCAGAAGAGTTGAAGCTGTTCTAGCTGCAAAGGGTGGACCGACGTCATATTGAACCCTATGGATTAGGAACGGGATGTCACTTAAGCTCATATGTGAGTCAAGGCAGGTGAGCAAATACTTTTGGCAATATAGTGTATATGAGTTTGTATGTAATGTATGAATATAATATACAAGTTTCACTTTTTAAATGGAATTACTGAAATCAATCTACTTTTTCATGATATTCTAATTTTATGACCAGCACCTGTAATAATAGAGCTTACTGGTAAAAACATGTATCAGAACCAGAACCTGCTGAATAATGTATAATTTCCATGTTTTTAAGGTTTTAATTCCTTTAAATGTACATAATCGATAAAAACCCAGAGCAGGAGACCCGACACCTTAAGCCAGCTGTGCGATTTTTTCAATCATTGTACGCAGCTACAGCTCACACTGTACTACGACTCACAGCTCACCATGTTTGTTCTCTCACTGTGCGACCCGACGCTCTGATGCGATCTACCTGCTCACAATGTACGTCTAAAAACCAGGTGGGACTCAGCTCCGCAGTGAGATGGCGCTACTCGGACTCGTCTATCTGGAAGCCAAACCAGTAGCAGAGGAACATGAAGCTCACTAGAGTGAAACGCGCTGCCTTGGATATTTGGGCGATTTAGTGCTGAAAGCCCTAAAAAGAAAAGGAGACGATGTATTTGGACAAAGACATGGCTGAGCTAACGTGGCTACTACGGTCTGACAGTTTGACAGAAAGAACTCCATTTCACTCATTGCCCCCCCGCCATGCTGCTGGGTTTACATCTGAGAGAAAGAAGAAGAAGAATCCTTGTTCGCGCACTGAGAGATTTGCCCACGACCACCTTAAAATGGCCGACTGAATTTCAAACATGTTTGATTTTCTGCCGAAATTACAATTCCTGATGGGGAGGCGGTCGTTAGAGGCTGATCGCCCCCCTCTATGCTACACAACGTATCATCGTGCTGAAAATTCGGCCCGATCTGAAAATTCTCGCACGACTGGAAAGTCGCTCCGAAAAGGGCAAAAAAAAAATCGCACACTGTAAGCCCAGCTTAAACGCGTGCTTCATCCTGACTAAAGGCCCGGTCACATTTTGACGATTTAGACCAGCCTACGTCAGACATACGAAAAATCTGTAAAAAACGCTGGCAAACGTTGGATAAGTTATGAGTAGGTTTTTTATAAGTACACTGAAGTACGTTGAAACACGTTGAGATACGCCGAGAAAATTTTGAGCTCGCTTAAAATTTCCCGCCGTATGCTAGCATATGCCATACGTTAGCAATAAGTTCCAGGTCAGTTATCTGATGGCTGACATCCGTTCAGTGTCAGTTCCTCATCAGTCGTGGCGTCTAGCTGATCCTAAACCTCTGAGTAACTTGTTCATAACTTCTGCGTAACTTATCCAGAACTTCTCTCCGATATATCAACGTATCTGACGTGTTCCTAGACGAGCGCTAAACGTGTTTGTTTATGCAGACCGGGCTCCTCCGGGCGCATCGCTGCCCCCCTCAGGACACTGGCTAGTGCATCATTTCCTGGGCATTACGCTGCCGTGCGTTATGCAGAAGTTAGGCTGTCGTTGGACAGAAGTTCTGGACCAGTTCTGAATACTCTATGTTTACGCCCAGAATGAAAAAAAATCCATAGAAAGTTCAGCATCTGTCAAAATAAATCGTCAAGGCGGGACCGGGGCTTAAACCATAAATAATAACTAATCAAAGGACCAGGAAGCAGACGCCTAGTTTTCTGTCTGCTCAAAAAGAATTTCAACAGGAACAAATAATAACTGAGGTTAAAAGAAAAGCAGCTTTCTTTAAAGAAAATGGGATCTAGACGATGTTAACTTTGGCTGCACAGCATCAGGAAAACAAGCAGCATTTTAATCTGATATCTGCTGTAAGCAGCATTTCCCTGACGCTCTCCGTCATCATGCGGATATATTATCCAGTTTTATATCTATAACACTAAATCCTTTGTAAATGTTCAGATGTCTTCAGTCGAGTGTGAACTGAACTTGGTGACTAGAACCAGAACTGATGCCTGGATCTTGCATCTAGACGCAGTTAGATGAATGGTTACTATGGAGACGGCTGGGATCTGATAAACTCTGCAGGTCGAATATAGATTTTCTAAAGCAGAAGCAGCAGCTGGTCAGGAGCTGCAGGCGACCTGATGAACCCAGAGATCCCTCTGATAACCCCGCTGCAGATGGTCTGAGCTCGGACCCTGAAACTCTGGAGAACATCGACACCCCGCGACCCAAAGTCGCCGCTTTCAGTCTGATCTTCTGAACCTTCAGACCAGAGGCCTTTAGGGAGCCGATATCTTTGGGATCAGAGAGTCAAACAGATAATGATCAGAGTTATCGGTTCCTTAAGCTCTTTGGTTCATCTGAATGCTGCCCCCTTCTGGTAGCAACGCAGCATAGACTTGAGGAAAGAAGAGAAATGATCTACCAGATGTTTGTGAGAGGATTCATCAGTGATCTGATCTTTAACCTCTGAGGACACCTCTGACCTCAGACAGGTAGAGGGGCTAGTTTTACTGCTGCAGTGCGTGGAGTAACGAGATATGTGAGGTTCCTCCAGGAGAGCTGATGGAGGAGGAGCAGATGGGAGGACGGAGCAGGAGGAGGAGGAGGTGGGGATGCTCTTACCTTCGGCTCAGGTCGGCCACGTGCTCCTGGAGCCAACTGCTGCTGGCCGCTGCAGGGAGACACAGTGACATCAACAGAACACGGTCAGTCCTCATTCTGAAACCTGAATAACTGAAACAATAATTATCACACCTGAAAGTAAAATCCTTTCCATTAAGCAACTTATTGCTGGTTTATGCTCAGAAACCACCTCGTCTGCGTGTCTCTGATTGGTCAATTCTACATCCGCTCTACACTATGTGTATTTCCTGTTTGTTTTAAAAAAAAGATCATTAAAATCAATCCTCTGGACTTTGTTTCCAAGTTTGAAGACGTTTCTCTTCCATCCAGGAAGATTTTTCAATTCAAAATGTCAGAAATAGGGTTGGTGCTGCGATGATAGTGGAAAGGAATAAACTCTATCGCTGCATTGTAGGTGTTTGAAAGCTGAAATCTGAGTCCATCCCCTCTGTTTAAGGTTTGGTTTTCTTTCCTTGTCCGTTTCTATTTGCATGTTTTCTAAACTAAAACCAGGCTTTGTTGGGCTGCTGGATAAAACCTGGAACTAAACGCTATTTCTGACATTTTGAATTGAAAAATCTTCCTGGATGGAAGAGAAACGTCTTCAAACTTGGAAACAATTTTCTTTTTTTGGAACTCTGTTAATTCTTTTAAAAATAGACTGCAGACGCTGCTTTTCAAGCAGATTTTCTAATTAGACCTGTGTTTTTTTTACAGCTTTCCATTTGTTTTTAAAATGTTGTTGTACATTGTATTCTACATTGTTTTATTGTATTACATTTTTTTCTTTGAATCACTTTGTGATTTTTATCTGTTAAAGTGCTATACAAATGAATTTTACTTACTTTACTTACTCGTCTAAGATTTAAAGGTGTTTATAGCAGTTCACAATTTCACCGCTGAACCTCTTTCCTTCTTAGACCCAGAATGCAGCTTCTAGGTGGTCCATCTCTACTCAGAGGACTGTTCACCTATCGACATTCAGCTCTACTTTAGATTAAAAGGTATTAATTGGGACTCAACCTTATTATTAAAAAGCACATTTTTATGCAGCTTAATTTTTACCAGATAAAAATTCAGTGTAAGGAAATAAATGTGTAAAAAAAATCAGTGTTTTAAATTTGGTGCTTAAAATGCAAAAAAGAATTCAATGTTTAGAATTCAGTGTTTAGAATTCAGTGTTTAGAATTCAGTGTTTAGAATTCAGTGTTTAGAATTCAGTGTTTAGAATTCAGTGTTTAGAATTCAGTGTTTAGAATTCAATGTTTAGAATTCAATGTTTAGAATTCAGTGTTTAGAATTCAGTGTTTAGAATTCAGTGTTTAGAATTCAGTGTTTAGAATTCAATGTTTAGAATTCAATGTTTAGAATTCAGTGTCTAGAATTCAGTGTTTAGAATTCAATGTTTAGAATTCAGTGTTTAGAATTCAGTGTTTAGAATTCAGTGTGCAAAAAAAAGGCAGATTCCAATGAAACGGTTTTTCTTCCATATCCTGCAGTTAAAAGGCGTGCGGCTGCATTTTGCACCAACTGGAGACGTGCGAGAGGCGGCTGGCTCACCCCAAAATAAAGTGCGTTACAGACAGCCAAGATGTAACGCAGTGATGGGTTATGGTTTCAAAGTTCTGCTGTGCATAAAAAAAGGTTTGACATTAGCCAACTGTCTAATATGATAAAAGCTGGATGGTTTTATTGATCTAATTCAAAATCACGTCCATCTTAGAACCCAAATTTTAGACCGTAGGCTTAAAAAAAAAAAAGAACTGTAAAAAAGATTCAAGTCAAGGAGGGTGGGGGTTGTTCACAAAGGTTACTGGGAGCTAAACACCATCACTTCAGTTTTTTCCTCATTAAGATATAAAAAGCTCAGAGCCAACCGGGCTTTAATGTCACTAAGGGATGTCAGTAGCGGTGCGAGGAAGAAGGCATTTTTAATGCTTACATATAGCTAACAATCATCAGCATAGAAATGATAAGAGATGCTTTAGAATGGAGCCCAGGGGCAGCAGGTACAACCAGAAGAGAAGGGGTCCTAAAACTGAACCCTGTGGAGGAACCCAAGACTTTCCAAGAATTTATGCAAAAATAAACTTCTCATTAAAAGCATTAAACAGAGAAAACTCACTCTATCAGGGTTTATATACAGGAATGAGTAACTGTTATTTAATGCTTTTTAATGCTCTTAGAAATAATTTTAATGCCATCAACAAATACCCATGACTTTCATATATAAACAGAAATGTCCTTTGTCATCTTCACCATCGTCAGGCTGCAGCCGTGTCCCGAATTTCGCGTTTTCCAGACATTTTTGTTGAAATTCGCCTTTCCCCGTTCTCTAGCTTTTTCTCCGCCTCGAGCTTCTTTACGGCTTTACGATCAACCGGAAGCAGTTCCTCGCAAACATATCGCGATATAAAATATTTGATGAAATAGTTTTTAGAAATGTTTTTTTTTTTTTTTTATAATGCCACAATATTTACATTAAATGAATTTTAATTAAAAGAATAAAATGACTTTAAATGGTTTTAATGACGGGGGAAACCCTGGTTATAATAATTCCTCTAAAAGCTGCGATAAGGACGACTCTCCTGCTCTTCCTGAAGCCACAGATCTGTGCAGCTGCAGACTAGAACAGAAAACACGTTTCTGGTTCACTGCAGCATGAAATATTGAGACGCAGCCGTTTCCTCCCGAGGTTCAGAGATCCTTCACCTTCGCCGCTGCGGTTCTGGTTCCTGTGATTTCTGGATCACAGAAGTGAGCGGCTCCCTCGTCACGACGAGCACTAAAAATATCCCCTTTAAATAAAGATAAGTGAACTCGCTCGGCTGCGCCGGCCCACCTTTAATGCCTGATGACATCAGAGGGGCCCGCGGGCTCAGCGCTGAGGTCAGAAGCCCCCACATCCCGGCCCGCTCAGCTCTCAGTGTGTGTGTTGTTTGTTTTGCCAGCAGGCTGAGTCGGTCTAAACAAACATTTTAATGGAGTCACTTATTTATGATCCGTGTGCTGCAGGAGGAAGTCCGAGCGCTTCAGCGTGTCGCTCTGCGAGCTGCATCGCCGCTGATGGAACATCGTTGCGTAACGCACCGCCGCTCTCTCTCTCTCTCTGAGTCTGTGTGCTTTCAGCCCCCCCTCCCTTTGAAAAATGTCAGATGTTAAGTGATGTTGAGACTGCTCCAAAGACAACAACCAACAGCTGAAACACACACACACACTGACCGCATGCATCAGTGGACAAAATGTGAGTCAGACGGAGAGAGGCAGAGAAAAAAACAGAGAAACGACTGGAGGAATAGAAAAGACAAGAAGAACAAACTGAACTTAGAGAAGCAAAGGAGACGAGACTGAAAAAGAGATGAAGCAAAAAGGAAAAGAAGAATGGAGGAGGAAACAAGTAAAATACAGAGGAGAGAAAGAAGGAAGGAGTGAAATATGGGAGAAAATGGTGTTAAAAGGAGGAAAGGAAAGAAAAGACTGGAGAGAAGAAAGAAAGGAGAGACAAAAGATAAGACATGGTGGTTGGTTGGAGGCAGATCATTGCTCTGAGATGCATAGTATGAGATTAGAACAGAAAAAGTAAAAAAAAAAAACTAGATATGCTTTTGTCAAACTGAAATTATTTAGTTTCTGCGTTTGTGGATCTGTTTTCTTTTTCTGATTGTTTTGCTTCTGGTGTTGAATGCTGTGAAACCAGGATGATGGCAAATGGGTTTGTTACACCTGGGGGCAGCTAATTCAAATCTGAAATAATACTTCAGTTACCTCTGCAGGTTAACATTCAATTCTATTCAGTTTATTTCTATAGCTCTAATTCACATCACGTCATCTCAGGTCACTTTATAGATCCAAATCAACCAGATCATCCAGTCAGATTGATTCAAAGTTTTCTATCTAAGGAAAACCAGCTGATTGCATCGACTCATTGACTTTCCTGTTTGGTTGCTGGGATCCGACACCCAAAGACATCAGGTGGCAGAATTATTAGTGAAAAGCTTTGAGCTGGTTAAAATAAAATAAAACACACAGTGATATATATTGTGTATAGCGATATAGCCCAAATATATCATGACATTAGATTTTCTTCATATCGCTATGCTGCACGGTGCGGTATCGGCTGTTGATCAAGTCCCAGTGCTGTATCTGGTGTTTGTCACAACGCGCTATTATCCAAGTCATCTTGAAAACATTCTTCTTCCAAATGTTGGCTACATATTACGGGTTTTTTCTCTGGCCAGAAGTTCGATGGCAAATCCTCCCTCTTCAAGTTGGCGATCCAACGACCAACCCGTCCGTGGAGGATCAGGAATCAGAAAGGTGGAATAACTCTTTTTTTCACTTTTACCCGATGTATTCCAGCATCCAGCCGCCATGCACGTGGGCATTGTCAGTTTCACTATAGCTCTGGTGAATTTCAATGGTGAAGTCTTCTGGAAATCTTCAATAATTGTTGTTGATTACAGATGTGTCTAGTAGCTCCCATTGATTTAGCTTGGAAAGCGGGGAGAATGGCGCTAGGCTTACCGCACCGTGACGTCACTGCTGGAAGATGGCAGGAGGGAGGGGCTACTATATTTGGGCAAAGATGGCCGCTCCCAGACTCAGTAGCTACGTTTACATGGACACAACTAATCGGATTGAAGGCCTGATCAGATCAAAAATGTTTCATGTAAACATGTCAGACTGAAGATTCTAATCCGATTCGGTCCGATCGGATCTAAATTTAATTCCGAAAGAGAGAGGTGGTTTTTGCCGATCGCCTTCACTGCGCATGTGTGCGACGTCAGCGTGACGTTTTTCCGCCTTGTCAACAACAGGAAACCACCGGTCGCTCTCGCTCTCGCTGTGAACAACATGGCGCGAGGAGTCTAGGAACGCCGACTTATACACTCAAGTTCATTTAAAGCTGCAGGAAGCAGGAATTTATCCTCCTCCTCTTCCTCTTTTCTCTCTCCACAGCCCACTCGCTCTCCCACGCCGGTTCAATCGCTCATTCTCTACATTTTCTCTCGGACATTTCCCTGCCAAGTGCTTTTTTCCTCCTCTCCCCTTTTTTCTTTCCGCTCGCTCCGAGCGCATCGTTTGTCAGGCCTCCCAAAAACCAGACGCAGACAGAACTGCCAAGTTTGGCAGGAAGTTCTGCGCATGCTTAAAAGATTTAATATGATCCAACGCTTGGTACATGTATACACACGTCATGATCGGATCATTTCATTTAGTGTCCATGTAAACGGAGATTTTGAATTTCCGATCAACCAAGGTTTGGATCGGATCGGGGAAATTTTGCGCATGTAAACTTAGCTAGTGATTGCCACGAAAAATATTGTTTTTATGTTTTTACTGATTAACGCTCAATTTATTAAACCCTGCAAACGTTTTAGTTTTAGGTATAAATAATGATCCATTGATCATTATATTATATTATAAATAATATCATCAGCTTCATCACAAAAGAAAGAAGATGATCTCTGAGAACAAAAAGCTTAAAGAGATTCCAGGCTGTTTATGGTAACATCCATCTCCATCAAAGTTTATCTCTGAGCAAAATAATCTCCTGTAAAATACATACAGCCATTCAGCTGCTCTGTTAGCGATGGAAAAACCCCGCAGTTCTGCCTGTAAACCGTTCTGATTTATTCCCTGACAGGAAGTGAGCCGGCGCTCTGTTCCACTTCCATAATCCCCCCAAAAAAACATCAGAAGAGCAAAATGATTCTGTCCCCAGGAGGCGACACGGATTAAAGAAAGCAGAAATCAGGTCTGTTTGGGTGAGGAGGTGAGCAGAGGAGCAGGAGGTGAGCAGAGGAGCAGGAGGTGAGCAGAGGAGCAGGAGGTGAGCAGAGGAGCAGGAGGTGAGCAGAGGAGCAGGAGGTGAGCAGAGGAGCAGGAGGTGAGCGGAGGAGCAGGAGGTGAGCGGAGGAGCAGGAGGTGAGCAGAGGAGCAGGAGGTGAGCAGAGGAGCAGGAGGTGAGCAGAGGAGCAGGAGGTGAGCAGGAGGAGCAGGAGGTGAGCAGAGGAGCAGGAGGTGAGCAGAGGAGCAGGAGGTGAGCAGAGGAGCAGGAGGTGAGCAGAGGAGCAGGAGGTGAGCGGAGGAGCAGGAGGTGAGCAGGAGGAGCAGGAGGTGAGCAGAGGAGCAGGAGGTGAGCAGAGGAGCAGGAGGTGAGCAGAGGAGCAGGAGGTGAGCAGAGGAGCAGGAGGTGAGCGGAGGAGCAGGAGGTGAGCAGAGGAGCAGGAGGTGAGCAGAGGAGCAGGAGGTGAGCAGAGGAGCAGGAGGTGAGCGGAGGAGCAGGAGGTGAGCAGAGGAGCAGGAGGTGAGCAGAGGAGCAGGAGGTGAGCAGAGGAGCAGGAGGTGAGCAGAGGAGCAGGAGGTGAGCGGAGGAGCAGGAGGTGAGCAGAGGAGCAGGAGGTGAGCGGAGGAGCGGGGGGGGGGGACGTACCTTCTGAGACATAGGCGAACGGCTTGTTCCTGATGGACAGCAGAGTCAGAAGGTTGAAGAACAGAGCCACGAACGTCCCGACCAACAGCCGACCTCTGCAGAAAGAACAGCCCATCATTAGGGACCAATCAGGCGCATCATTATGACCCCTCAGGGTCAAGGCGCCCAGAAACCATCAGGTTTGTAGCCAAACCCAGAGATCCTGGTTTAGATTAAAACCTGAACCATTCAGGGTTTTTTCCGGAAACTGGAAAGTTTCTTTTTTTTTTTTTGCCATTTCTTCTTGAAGAAACTGGAAGAAATTCCTGGTACTGGATCAGATTTAGGAGAACTTGGATAGTTCCTCTGAAAAGGCTACATGAGGAGAAATCTTTGTGAGGATAAACACAGCGACACAAATTAAGTTTATATTGCATATTTAATACAGAATTGATCATTTACTAATGATCTTTAAATGGCAGGAAAACGCTGTCATGTATACTCAGATTCCACCTGCTGGCTAGCTTTCATTTCTTCTACTCTTCCGACCCCCAAACCTCCCTGGTTTATAGATATTGAACCTAGGGCTGGGTATTTTCACCAAAGTCCTGAATCGATTCGATTTCGATCCAATCTGTTTTTACAATAATGAAAGTGGTTCAACTGTTTCAGAATACTCATGTATTTTATTTTTTCCTGTCACATTAAACACAAAGTGCAAACTTTTAAATCAGACAGTTTAAACTTGAGATGTGGACAAAACTGTCTCAAAAGTGCAAACTTGTTTGTGAAAAGTGAAAAAGTGAAGCCTCACTTGAGCGAGCAGACGTGACACAGCAGACATGCATGAGCTGCATTATCTCCACTGTAAAAACTATATATGCAGCGTTTTCTGTAACTACAGGGTGTTTGCTGGTCAGCCTCCATTTGTTAATATCTTCATTCAAACTATTGGATATATTTGCAGCTGTCTGGCTTGAAGTCATCTTGAGAGCATCTTTCCTGCTTATTTGAATGTGAACGTCACGCGGGTCACTATAAAATAACTCGATCTCATTCTCTAGACATCGATTTTGCAAAAATGTAAAAGAATCAATTCAAAATCGTTTTTTTCCCCAGCCCTAACTGAACCTCACCTCCAGGTTATTACTGGATCTGGGCCTGCTGAAGGCTAAATAAATTTACTTTTGCCGTCGCCTTTTTGGAAACACAGGAAGGAGCAATCAGCTAAGTGAGCTTAGTGCTTGGAAAAAATCTTTCATTCCTTTAGAGACAGCATGAAAAGTCAGCTGAGTACAAAACATAGAGAGGAAAACAAGAAGAAAAGGGACAAGAAGAGAGGGACACAACCTAGAACAGATAATGGATGTCTATTCTATTAACATTTCTACATCTGGAGAATGGGGCTGTTTATGTCTTCTCCATTCAGAGGGCCCCCTGCCTGTCTTTGCCTAGGGCCCCACATTTCCTAAATCCGCCCCTGCCTCTGGGCTCCTGAAAGTTTAAATTTACTCGCCGTTAGCGGAGTCAGACTGTAGATCTTTGGTCTCAACCCACTCTGGTCGACAGAAAGACAGAACCAGGGTTTAAGGATTTAAAAGATCAGAGATGTTTTGTATCCCTTCAGACTCCACTGAATGTACCGCGCTATCCAACTCTAAACCTCCTGGGTATAAAAACAGGCACAAACTGTCCAAATCAAACCTAAACTGATTGATTTCTGTCCTATAAGCTGATAACATCCCCAACAATTCATAAGTAGAAGAAAAACTAAATAAATCCATCGATGATCCAATTTGGAGACTAAAACCGAGCCGAACAAGCAGCGGCCAGCGGCGGCATCTTTCCGGATCAGATTAATCAGTACGGGAACGCGGCGCCGCTGCTCCGGCCAATCGGACACCTGCTGCTCTCCTTAGAAGCCAATCATGTTTAGATAGTTAATCTGGTCACTTGAACAGGTCTAAATCTTTTTAGAGTTGGAGGCTATCAAAGCTGCCATTAATCCGTTTTCTCCCAGAGAAATGGTAGCCGGCCTGACTAACATGTTTTATTTCTAAAGTCTTTGTTTTTCCAATTTTGGGTTAATCTGTGTCTCCTGCAGAGATCCGTGAAATGAAAGATGCTCACTACATTGTGTCTGTGAAGCACTCAGTTTTAGCAAAACAACGGCCTGTTGATCTGCAGGACGTTTGGTCCAGGAGGCGTGGAGCTGTTCTGGGGACAGTGTTCCTCCCTCTGTCCGTTACGCCTCGCTTTACTTTTTTTTTGGAGAAACAGGAAGTGATTAACAGCAATAATAGCCAATGAGCCACAGAGGTGTTTAATCGTTAACATCTTCTAAATGAGGAGGCGGGGCATTCGGAGGTTCTGCTCCAATTATAAGTTTGATGGTCAAAAAGAAAGACAGGTAGCACGATCCGTATCATCAGCTCGTCTGTGCCACCAGATATCCTTCGACTTTACTTTCTAAAAAAGACCTAAATTATTTTCATTTATTTTGTGTACTAAACTATAATGAGTTAAAAGTTAATAATGTATTTCCTGAGAAAGTAAATGCATTAAAATCCTGTTTTTCTTTTTCCTGAAAAGAGATCAATGGGGACAAACTCTTTAAATAACACTTCATAACTTATATATATTAAATAATCAGGAGACCTGAAAACAGATTTGATAGGAATTATAATCTTGCTCAGATCAGAGAAGTTGCTGAGAGTCACAGAAGGCAGCTGCTCACCTCTCTTCTCAGGAAGTGGCCCTGATTAACAGTTAAAGCATTTTATACATCTACAGTCTGCCATATACTTATATTTTAGCAGATGAGGAGACATCGATGGCTCCAGGCTTATCAAAATATTCCAGACAGAGGAAGTGTTTTAGTTAGATTAAGTATTATGGAAAACATCAGTTTTGACAAACAACAGGTAGATATTATTAAGATGTAATAAACTCACACATTTGATAATCTTCCTAACTATTCGTCTGTTCCCGATCTGGACAGGAAATGGGATGCTACGCTACTTGCAGGAGCTAACTTTTTCAGCTTAGGATTTAAACATAAATTTGGTCTTCTTAGGTTTAATGTTTTCCTTTCGTGTTTGCATTTTGCACTATTGGATCTTAAGAAGGTTCAAAGTAAAGCTTCACAATGTTAAAGGAAAAAATCAGTGCAAGAGACAAGAACTTTTGAGCGGGGAATTTTCTGAAAACTGCATTTACACTCAAACATGATTTTTTCAGCTGATCAAAAGTTTAAGACCATAGTCTTTAAAAGCCAAAAGCTGTGCAAAAATCTGGATTTCATGTCATTTTCTGTCAAGTCTTTACCCTGTCAAGACCTCCTGATGGCAAAAGCCAAAAAGCTCACTGACTTTGAACGTGGCAGGATTGTTGAGCTGCATAAGCAAGGCCTCTCACAACCTGCGATCGCTGCTGAGGTTGGACGCAGTAAGACAGTCATTTTACATTTTTTAAATGATCCTGAGGGTTATGGAACAAAAAAGTCAAGAGGTAGACCCAAAAAAATGTCACCAGCTCTGATCCGCAGGATCCGATTGGCTGTCCATCAAGACACAGGACGATCCTCTACCCAAATTAAGGCCAATACTGGTCATCAGACAGCATCTGCCAGAGAAGGGCTTCAGAAACAAAAACGTCTTCAAAGGCCACGTCTTCTTCAACGCCACAAAGTAGTTGCGCTTTGCTTTATGTAGTTTTGTTTTGCTTAATGTAGTTGCGCTTTTAGATTTGTAGTTGCAGTTTGCACTTCAGGGCCACCGTAGTTTTTTTTTAGCTATGGTCTTAAACTTTTGATCAGCTGAAAAAAAATATGTTTGAGTGTAAATGCAGTTTTCAATTAATTCCCCGCTCAAAAGTTTTTGTCTCTTACGCTGATTTCGTCTTTTAACATTCTGAAGCTCTACTTAGAACCGTATTTAGATCCAATAGTGCAAAATGCAAATTCTTGCAATTTTTTAACTGGTCTTAAGATTTTGATCAGGAGTGTAGTGCGTAATCTAAAGAAAGAAACACTAAACTGTAGATAAACATGGTTTAATCAGATTTTTCTGGACTGCTCTGATCGTGTCCCATGATGACGTCAGAGAAGCAGTGCAATGGAGAAAACGTAAAAGGCATCAAAATTGTCTCAGAGAAGTTGGAAAACATTTTTTAAAGATGTGTATTAGCATTCTTTAGTGAGTTAAGGAGAGAAATAATTACTTGTAGCACCATAATGACATTATTTATGGAAACTCAGATGTATATCTGGTTGAACAAATGAGCTGATGGTACGGATGGTGCTTCCAGGAAGGATCAGGGGATGACAGGGAAAGACGTTTGAAAATAACTTTCCAGGAAATTTAAAAAATTTAAAATCAGAAACTAACCCTGCACTGCAAAAAAATTATAAAAGTTGGTAATTTTTTCTTGAAATAAGTGCATTTTTCCTTCATTTAAGCAGGTAAGACAATTTGCAAATGAATTAAAAAAGGATTAAAAAAAATACACCTATTATTTAGTTTAAAGTGCTGTTAAAGGGATGATAAATAGTCATCCCACGAGATATAGCTTAGTTACAGCTCAAATGAAAGGAAAATATACTTATTTAAAGACGTTTTAACCTCTTATTAGTTACAGTTTAGCATTTTTTCTGATTGTTTTTAATAAGCCTGTAAAACGTCTAAACTGGAGGAAACACCTGAACGCTTTAATAAGCTACAAAGCAGCTTAGATTCCAGTAAATCAAACCAGGATGTGAATGAATCAGTTTTCCATCCGTAGGTCTGAACTCGGAGTGGATGAATATTCCTAATGTCAGGATAAAAATTAACCATCGCTGCGCCTCTGGAAATCTAATTCTGTTATTACTGTGAGTGACCCAGTTAGAGATGTTCTGTTCCCAACAGCTGGCACACTGACTGACTGACTGACTGTTTCCCTCAGACAGACGCAGGAGGATATCATGTTTATTTTCCGTGGTCATGTGGGAATCAGAGTGTGTGCGGTGATAATACTTACGTGTGGACCTCAGGCTGCTCCACGAAGCGCTCCACACTAACAACACAGAAACAAACACGGTGAATCGACAACAGCCGGCTGATCGGATCTGGGATGGAGACGTGAAACTGACCAGAGGAGACAAGGAGCACGAACTCACACACACAGGGGAGAGGTGAACACATCCACCCAAACAAAGGTTGATCTGCTTTAACTGAGGAGCCTCCAGGGCTGATTATTAAAGGAAAAGTGGCTCATATTCAGAATTCAAACTTCTGAAAGTTCTTTAAATGTGAAATGATTCCATCCTGTTCAATAAATGATCAGTGTTTTTAATTCAGAGTAATTTTCATGTGAATGTGCTTTACTGGAGGCATCCATTTTTGTCAAAGAACACTACTGCCACCTACTGGTTAGTGACGTCACGGTGCGGTATCGGCTGTTGATCAAGTCCCAGTGCTGTATCTGGTGTTTGTCACAACGCGCTATTATCCAAGTCATCTTGAAAACATTCTTCTTCCCCAAACTGTCCAGCAGACCAACAAACACATTTAACATGAAATATTCAGATTTCCAGGTGAGGACTCCTGTAAAGAAAGTGTATTTTTCTTCTGTTGAATAGCTGATTGTTCTTCTATGGAAGAGGATTAGGGCCACTGAAAAAAAAAAGTTAACAGATTTTTTAATTTTATTCCAGTTTAACATGGGAATGGGAATCTCAGAATTCTGAGGAAAAAAGTCAGAATTCTGACTTTTAGTCCCATTCTAAACTGAAATAAAATTTAAAAAGCAGTTAACTTTTTTTTCCACTGGCCCTAATCCTCTTCCGTATTCTTCATCTGAAACACCATCAGATGATTTTGTTACAAAACTTACATACATTTACAATGTTTTTTGTGATGTGCTTTTTCCCTTTAATGCAGTCTATTCTAATTCTTAATTTTAGTTTTTGATTCAGATTTTATTGACGTATGAACAATTCGACAAACTCATCACTTTGGTAAGTTTTGGTAGCCTCTAAGTACTTCGAGTGTTGCTAGATTTTTAATCACCTGAAGCCATTTGTTTCCATTTGCTTACCGCATCTGGAAATCCTTCCTAAAATCTTCCTGTTCAAAGGAAAACCATAGAAATAAAACAAGGAAAATATAGATTGTAGGGGTGGAACGGTTCACAAAATCCACGATTCGGTTCGGTTCACGGTTTCGTGGTCACGGTTTTCGGTTCGGTATATGTTGATTGTTAGCCTGACATGTTGGTCGTGTTGCTGTTAGCATAAACAAAACGTGTTGCACAATGCTTGCACACTGTTGCACTTTTATCCCCAGCTTTCTTCCCGCCATCATCGTAGGTCACTCTAAATGCAAAGTGGTCCCATACAGCAGACCTATAAAGTGCTGCTGGCGCGTCTTCCAACTCCTGTTCTTTCCCACTCGCCATACCCACACAATTCTCCACAACAACTGATTTTTAATCACCTGAAGCCATTTGTTTCCATTTGCCACTGACAAATGGATAATAAAGGATTTCTATTCTATTCTCTGAAATGAGACATTTGAGAATCAAACCTGTTTAAATCACTTTCTATCTGCCCTCTAGAAGGCAGCACTGAGCCCTCCGTTCAGCACATAACCATTCTTCTTTCTCTGGCCAGAAGTTCGATGGCAAATCCTCCCTCTTCAAGTTGGCGATCCAACGACCAACCCGTCCGTGGAGGATCAGGAATCAGAAAGGTGGAATAACTCTTTTTTTCACTTTTCCCCGATGTATTCCAGCATCCAGCTGCCATGCACGTGGGCATTGTCAGTTTCACTATAGCTCTGGTGAATTTCAATGGTGAAGTCCTCTGGAAATCTTCAATAATTGTTGTTGATTGCAGATGTGTCTAGTAGTTCCCATTGATTTAGCTTGGAAAGCGGGGAGAATGGCGCTAGGCTTACCGCACCGTGACGTCACTGCTGGAAGATGGCAGGAGGGAGGGGCTACTATATTTGGGCAAAAATGGCCGCTCCCAGACTCAGTGATCGTGACGAAAATGTGTTCTTTTTATTTTTCTTTACTGATTGACGCTAAACGCATTAAATCGCAATGATCCATTGATCATTCCTGGCTGACCGGACTTTTCCTTTAAAATCAAAACAAAGCTTTAAAAAAACATGTTTGAATCAAAGTCAGTTCATGATCATTGATGAAAGAAGGTCGTTTTAGAAGTTAGCGTTGGAAAAGTCCCGTTTCATTCTATTAGCTTAGCTAGGTCTGAGAATATTTGTTTTATGATCTAAAAGCATTTGGACCTCTTTTGACTAAACATCTGAATGTATAAAAACATGGTATCTTAAAAGCATGTGCAAAGCTGATCAATTAACCACATTTAATACGTTTGCCTTCATGAATATGCTGAACATATGTTGATCATCAGAACATGCATAACACCGGGAGGAAGACATGCAGATATAATTCCCTACCACCAAATATTGACATTTATCAAACAGGAAACAGAATTTGGTGCAGCTAATTATTGCTCTAATAGCTTAATTTTTAAAACTCTTTTCATCAACAAGTTGAGTTCAGTCACCATCAGCGGTAAAATTAGAGCTAAACAGAAATTAGACGAGATTTCCCAAACAGCATCCGGTGATACGTAAAGATGAAGAGAGTCTAAGAACAGAGTTAGAAAGACTTTTTAATATATTTAGTTGAAAATATCAGTTCTAGCTGCAGCTTTGTATTTAATGATAAATATAGAACGATAAAATAAGATATCTGATGAGAAAATAAATATTTTTTGGACAGAAGTTAGTGTCGCCGCCTTCAATGTTTCAAAACCAAATTTACTGAAGGCAGCTGATGGCAACAGGTAGCGTTTCATATACGCACTTCTGATACATGGTGAAATATGGTGCTTATTTCTAGGAAGAAAACTAAAAGAAAAAAGGATTATAATATGACCAAAAATATCTTACAGCTTAAATATTTCCCACCTCCTGTCCTCACAGCAGACATTTGAACAAAAACCAAAAAGATCATCTCCTCTGACCCCGTCCTGCATTCCTAATCTTCTAAATTAATTCAATTCTGTTCAGAATTTAAATTCAGAATCACTATAGAAATAAAGAGAATTGAAATGGAATTGAAGCAGAGATAAAAAAAAAAAGTCATCAGTCAATGGGCTCCACAGGCGGCCCCTTTCAGGAAAAATTAATAAGCGGCTCTAAAATTAACCCCAGTAATAAAAACAATTCAAATTTAAAAACAATAGATCAGCTTAAATATATTCTTTCTACAAAATAAAACTTGATAGAACTTGTGATTAATCCTGGTTCAGTCACAATTAGTGACAAAGTCAGAACGAGCGTTTAAAACTAGAGTCGGAGGATTTTCGTGGCGGAACTGAGAATTAGCACCAGTTTAGAACTGGAACCAGTTTGGCAGGAAAAGCTCTAAATAACAGTTCAACACTGGATCTATTTTAAGGAATAATTAGTCCAGACTGTAAAACAAATGCTTTGCTTTAGCACCACTGGATGAATAATTTCAGCCAGGCTGAGAGTAGGTGACAGCTGATCTAAAGCTGGACCAGAAGCAGGTTAAAGCTGCCAGATGAAGATCATCCCTCGGTGAGCTGTGGGAAAATGGTTTCCAGCGGGGTGACCCCAGGACAACCCCAGACCTGATGCCAGCAGAGGTGTGAGAGTCTCACAGTGACAGACACAGCGAGGCGGTGGCATCCCTTCAATCGTCCAGGTTCACCAGTTCACAGCCTGAACACACTCCCAGCTGTGAACCAGCTTCCTGAGCCGCTTACACCTGGAGCCAAACAGTGAAAGCATCGTTTCTATGGATAAAAGGGAGGAGCTAAAGAACTGCTCCCCCATGACAGAGAGAGAAACAGGATGTCCAGCCTGATGGGAACCTTTAACCTTTGAGGCAGAACGAGTTTGATCAGGAAATCCTTCCTAAAATCTTCCTGTTCAAAGGAAAACCATAGAAATAAAACAAGGAAAATATAGATTGTAGGGGTGGAACGGTTCACAAAATCCACGATTCGGTTCGGTTCACGGTTTCGTGGTCACGGTTTTCGGTTCGGTATATGTTGATTGTTAGCCCGACATGTTGGTCGTGTTGCTGTTAGCATAAACAAAACGTGTTGCACAATGCTTGCACACTGTTGCACTTTAATCCACAACTTTCTTTCCGCCATCATCGTAGGTCACTCTAAATGCAAAGTGGTCCCATACAGCAGACCTATAAAGTGCTGCTGGCGCGTCTTCCAACTCCTGTTCTTTCCCACTCGCCATACCCACACAATTCTCCACAACAACTGATTTTTTTCTGCTACACCCGGCTACGCTGCTTCGCTTCTTCTTCTTCTTGTTTACTACTGGTGGGTGGCTTTGGTCGCAGTACCGCCACCTTCTGCTCTGGAGTGGAAACGCTTCGCCTATGAGAAAAAGGAGCAGCGCATGAACCGAACGAAACACACGCGAACCGAACCGAGACAGTCGAACCGAACGGTTCGGACGGTTTTCAGAAACTGTTCCATCCCTAACAGATTCACTGCACTTTTGGGCCAATTCTAACCTGACTCCCCCAGATGGATTTGCTCCGCATATCCATCTGGAAACCTTCCGTTGAAGTAATTTTGGGAAGGGGCGAAAATACTGGTTAGCTGATTGGCCTATGTTGGTGATAGACGGGCCAAATAAACCAATCAGATCAACGAAGCATATGACGTAATAACAGAGCGACGACGAAAACACAACTACAAGCCAGGCTACTCTTGCTGAAACCAGTCGGGAGAAGAGCAACAACATCTTTTCCTCTGAGAAAAGCCTCCAGAGCAGTGTTTTGCTCTTCTTTCAGTGAAGAAATACTCTGTAATTCCGATAAAACTTGCTCGATAGCCACGCTAACGCTAGTTTCATCGGCTGAAGCCGCCATGTTCTTTAGACTGAACTGTCGCGCTTCTCGTTGCGTCACACCTCAACCCGCCTCAAAGCCAACGCTGATTGGACGTTCGTTTGGTGAACGGCTCCAAATTTTCTTTAACGGAGAGTCTCCAGACTGATCTGCGAGTGAAACCTTGAAAGCTCGCGAGATCAGGATGGTCTCACCAGGCTAGGCCGATTCTCCGGTCGTGCAAGAACTTTTCGATCGGGACGACTTACATCACGCTCGCCTCCTAGTGGCGGTCCACGATACTACAGCTAACAAACGTCAGGATCTGAGCCAGCATGGATAAAGACAGCTAGGACGCATTTAAAGCAGTTTTTAGAAAAGGAAAAGAAGAATAAAAAAATCTGGGATTCACATGGAAAATAATAGAATATAGTCGACTTTTTATAGATGTTTGTCAAGTTGCATAGCTGCTCTTAGATAAACACAAAATAAATAGTTTTTATATATAAAAAATATAAAGCTTTCTAATAGCTCCTCCATTATTAAACTGGTACATTTTTTTTAGGTTTGTGACACAATATTGGAAAAAACACAGATTTACCTTCACAAAACCTCAGAAGGGCAAGATTTACGTACAAAAAGAAAAACCTGCATATTTAATTATCTTTTGTTTTTATAAAGTGTTTTTAGAATGTTTTTTGTTGTTGGCATTCATATAAGTATACTATAACTTAGTTTGGTTGGTTTTTGGTATGTCTATACTGGATTTATGCCCCCCCCCCCCGGAGAAAACTCCACCAGCTGCTACTGCTTCGAGTTTTCAAATGACCTGAAGCCATTTGCTGCCATTTACTGCAGACAAATGGATAATAAAGGATTTCTATTTCATTTTCTGAAATGAAACATTTCAGAATCAACCATTTTTAAATGACTTTCTATCTGCATTGATACTCAGAAAGGCCTTGTGTCCCAGCGGTACCTGAAAGCAGCATGGGCAGCTTCTGGGAAGTTGAGCCTGTGCTCTGGTATCAAACGATGCTACATTCACTGACCCAGTCGCAGCTTGTGAATTTGAATGAATGATATTCGACCTCTAATGTTGATAACATGGAGAACCTATCAAGTAGAGCTGGTTTACTAGCTAATGATGGTACGGTGTGTGTCTTTGTGTGTCTTTACCTCTCCTTCAGGATGAACAGAGCTCCCAGCTGGACCAGGACAGTAGAGGCAAAAACGGCCAAAACCTCCAATCTTTCAAACCTGAACAGGAAGAAAGAGAGAAAAAAAATATCCATGAATCTACAAATCTGATCAGGAAGAGGTTAAGATCAAAAAGTGGTTTCCTCTGACGTGCTGGAAAGTAACATCTGGACCAGACCCTCAGTGATGGAGACAGATTCACATCTGGAGCTCCAGGTGTCAGCAGTTCTAACACCTGAGGTCAGTCCTGTAACTTGCTGTTTTATCAAGCTGGAATAATAAAACTAAATCTTTCATGAGATCCAAAGCTAATGAACAGAACAGACAAAGCGTAAAGTTTCTACACTTCTTCAAAAGAGGAGCTGCAGCTTTCAGCACAGCCTGTAGGTGGCAGAGTAATGAACGATTTAAGGGTTGGTTATTCTCCCACTTGTTGGAGGTATTTTTGATTTATGTCCAATATTGAAGCGTGGTCTGAACGCATATCTGCGTTCACTGCAACACACGCAGACGACCTGTTTTCTTATAACCCATTTGCACTACCCTTGAAAAACCGTGCCGAGACCGGTCCGAGCTCAGTAACTGAGATAACTTATGGTGTGTAAATGGAAAGCAAACTGAACCGAACCGAGCTAGACCCAACCGGACCGAGCTAACTGCAGACCAGGTCCAGAGGTGGGCTCGGCTCGGTTCTCTGATAACAAGAGCGCATGAGAACGCGTCATCTCCGTCTGGCTGCACATCGCGATTCACACTCCATTCCAGTAGATGGCGGTAATGCCCTTCCGGAAACAGAAGAAGAAGAACGACTTCTTCTTCAACTATAAACAACAATCGAAATCTTCTCCAGGGAACATTTTAAATAATAAAACCGAAGTACAGCAATAATAATCAAGCATAACTTTCTGAATGTGACGGGCGCCGCCATTTTGATTTGCTTGATTCCCTCCTTCTTCATCTTCTTCTTCTTGTGTTTTATGGCGGTTGGCAAACAACTTTTGGTGCATTACCGCTAGGGATACACGATATTGGGATTTTGGCCGATATCCGATATGCCGATATTTTAAAACTCATGTAGCCGATAACCGATATCGATACCGATGTTAAAGCTGGACAAAAATAAGTAGTCATTGAAAATAGCAGTTTTGTTATCCATTTCTGACACTTTGAAAAATAATATACTCAAATATATTTTCATATGCTGATATCAAATAGATTTTTAAAAACGCGGTATGGATCTATTTTACTTTCAAAATCTGGTGAAATTTCATTGTTCTGTTACAAACTCTCGTGATATTTTGCAAATTCTTGTGAGATTTTGTTAGTAAAATAGATCGATACCGCGTCAATATATCAACATATAAAAATATGGCAACATTTGGTGAATTTTCGGGGGATTTCGTAGCATAACGATGACATATAGCAATATTTCATTAGTAAAAGAGATTGATATGGTGTTTTTAAATGGCAATATATCAGCATATGAAGAAATTGGGATATTTTAATGTATCAATATTTTTTCCCTCGTCTTTAGAAGTTTTTAAGTCTGTAAAAAAGAAGTTTTTGAGGAAGGAGAAGTAGTAGTATTTTATTTTATTTTATTAGACTTTAGAAACTCAGAAGCTGATCAAATATCGGGTTGAATATCGGTGGGGTGGCCGATGCCCGATATTCAGTTTTAAGGCCGATACCGATAGGGGGCCGATTATATCGTGCATCTCTAATTACCGCCACCAACTGCTTGATTTCCTCCTTCAATGCTGGCAGTAATACCGCAGATTGTCACTAGGAGGGGAGGAACCGAGATAGCGTGATGTGTAAACGGTCGTCCAAACCGAGCTGGGCCTGGTTAACTGATCCGAGCTCGGACCGGTCTCGGCATGGATCGGTTTTTCAAGGGTAGAGTAAATGAGGTAATAGTAGCCCAGGATAGTTCAAGTCAGTCATTTCCAGATGCTTTACAGGTGGGAAAAACTCTTAGTTGGTAAAAACTTAACCTCAATATTTCTTCAAAAACTGTCGCTTGTTAGAAGTCTGATCTGTTCATAACAACAGAGCAGTTTTAGTCAGAAAGCCAAAATGAGGATGTTAAAGGATTTAGGTCTAATAAGGTAAATAACTTTAATCCAGACAGTTTGACTTTAAGCAAACACTGATATTATCAACAAAGGAAGTTCGTCCGTTTCCATTTGCATGTTTTCTAAACTAAAACCAGGCTTTGTTGGGCTGCTGGATAAAACCTGGAACTAAACGCTATTTCTGACATTTTGAATTGAAAAATCTTCCTGGATGGAAGAGAAACGTCTTCAGACTTGGAAACAAAGTCCAGCGGATTCATTTTTTTTTTTAGCTTTTGTGGAATATCTATGACCTGGATGACTGAGAACCTTCCCCAGCTGATCTCAGGGATCCTCAGTGTTTCCTGACCCAGAATGCTTTGCGGTTATCAGCTGATCAGACCACATGGAGCACCGCGCTCTGACCATCAGCCATTAAACAGGAAGTCATTAGTGTCTGTGTTCATAAAGAATTTAAATTATTTTTATGAATTAAAGGCATAAATAATTTAAGTATTTAATCTAGAAAAATTTACGTTTAATAAAAATCCTAAATAATTATTAAGAAACAACTAAATACATGAGCTGCAGCCTGGTTTGTTTTTCTTATCTACTTCCAGCTGTTTAGCTGGGTGCTTCCTGACCAGCAGGAAGTAAACAATGAATTGTCCCTCTGCCTGAAGCTCTGCAGTTTAAAAACACAGCAGGATCAAAATCCTGTTAATAAGACACTAATGAAAGGAGACTTTAATAACAGCAGCCGTTTAAAACCAGCAGAACACAAAGACACACATCCTTTTAACCATTGGACACAATAAGCAGTTTAAAAAGCTCTGCTCGTCCGTCGGCATTCCAGAGGTTTTCTCTCCAGGGAGAAAAAAAAGATCTGGATCCATTTCAGGATCCGTCCAGAACCCATGAAGAGCTCCGGTTCTGACTCAGAAACATCTCCAGCGTCAAACCTTGGAGACAGCCTCCGACTCGGCCGCAGAAGAAACCGACATTCAGTTACAGCGGTTGCCGACCTTTGACCTCCTCATACAGTAAGAGGCTTAGCGAGCGCTGAGCTGAGCTAACGGGGTTAAACTCGACACTGACTGTAATCCAATAGCCCGCGTGATTGCACCAAACTAAGAACCTTGTGTTTGTGCTAAATGAAGCGCAGTCTGGATGGAAGCTGGAGGAAGACGAGGAGGACAAAAACAGTCAGTCAGAGCGGAACACTCATTAAACGCTGATCAGACTGTTTGATGTCTGACTGGGAATATGTTTAAAATAAACCTGGTTCATTCAGCAGAGCTTAGTGAAAGAAAGAAAGAAATATCATCAACTGATCTGCAGTATAAAGGGATTTTAGTTGGAATATAACTTCTTACAACCATCTGCCATCATTGTTTAACAAAACAAATCGAATGTATTTCTATTTAAAATGAATAAGAGCTGCCAAACATGGTTCCAGACTTTTACACGTTAAAGATGTAAACTGAGCGGATATTTTCCGCGGATCTTCACATGCTCCGTGTTCTGGATGAGCCGTTTGTTTTGATGAGAGCGCCGCTGAGCGTTTGGGGTTAATCTGCACGCTTAACCCGTTTAATACGAGTGTTTCTAGGAGCACGCTCATCTCATTTAGAAAACAACACACCTCTGACCTGTGGAGGCTCATCGTCCAGTTTTTCCTCTGGAGGACTTCCAGTCATGATCCTGCTTTTAATAACAGGCAGGAAGTGGAAACCGTGAAGTGATGCCTTCATGGCCCAGTTTCACAGTCACAGATATTACAAACAGAACAAACAGCTTTAGAATCCAGCTGCAGGGCAGCCCTCCTGCTGCCCAGGAATTTATTTTCCTCATTTTGATCCGCACCGAGTCACGGATAGCTCAAAGGATCACGGCTGATCCGAGGTCTGTTCCGCTTTAGAACCTTCAGCATGTAGCTGTTCATAGAGACGCTCCAATCATGTTCTGTCATATAACTGTATGTAACCCTGCAGAGATGGGAGCCCCATTAAACCTTCCTGAGGAGGAAGGTCCTGGAACTCTGCAGGACTCCTAGAGTGACCAGGATAACGCTGGAAGCATCGGACGCCTCTGGTTCCAAAGCTGGACTGGAGGCCGAGGGGCAGGTTTGAGTTGCAGGCTGCTTCTGGACAAGTGGAAGAACCCGGAAGAAGAAAAAGTTTCGTTTTTTCCTCCATTTCTTCTGGGTGTGATCTAGCCGCTCACACTGTAAGTCTAAAAAAAACCCTGTCGGACTCTGCTTCGCAGCCAGATGGTTCTAATTGGACTTGTCAGTCTAGAAGAACTCCCTTGTTCGCACATGTGCAGTGCTCTAGTTTCAGGTAAATCGACTCCTAGCTCTGCTTCAACAGCAGGATTTGTCCATGAACACCTAACGACGGCCGACTGAATTTTGTGAGCTATCTCTATAGTTCTGCTGCTATAGGCTTAGACTGCTGGAGGACATAGGGACCCCTTTTTCATCATTCTGCTTCATTCTATCTCTATTCTCCCACTCTGCAGAATCTGTTAGTTCAATCTCTAACGTTCTGCTCTCTCTGCTTTTTCTCATAGTAGCTTCATCTGGTCTGTTCCTGTTTGGCTGTGACTCCATCCTGGAGAGAAATATCAGCTGTGCTGCTGCCATCAACACCTTTGTTTCTAGATGTTGGAGCTTGGCCTGTTTTCCAGTGTAGGTCCTGTTTCTCTGACTGTGACTAACTGGATGTGCTCTCTTCATCCTCTGACATGGGAGCTGGCTCGGAGCTCGTCTGCCTGGCTGTGTGTTTCCTGGACGGGGCCGCCTGTGGAGCTGGTTGACAGTTGCCTTTTGTATCTATGCTTCTTTTTCTATGTCTGCTTCTGTCTCCTTGAACCCCAGTGGGCCTCAGCAGATGGCCGCTCACACTGAGCCTGGTTCTGCTGGAGGTTTCTTCCTGTTCAAAGGGAGTTTTTCCTCTCCACTGTCGCTACAAGCATGCTTAGTGTGAGGGATTGCTGAAGAGTCAATGAGTCGATGCAATCAGCTGGTTTTCCTTAGATAGAAAACTTTCTGGTGAACTATGGCGTGAGACGAAGTGTTGTTATTTGGCGCTATAGAAATAAACTGACTTTAATTGAATTTCAAACATGTTAGATTTTCTCCCGACCTCACGATTCCTGATTGGTAGGTGGTCATGAGAGGCTAATTGCACCTCGTTACCCCCCGTACACTACACGACGCAGGACGCACGATGAGGCTGAAAGTCGTGTTCGGACCAATATGGCCACATTGCAACACAAAAGGGCTGCCAGCATCGAGATAAATAATAAACATCAATGATTTTAGAGACGCCAGGAAATGTTTCGGACCATTTCCAATTCTTTCATGATGCCGATGAAGATCCAAACATTCCAGATGTTTTAGTTTTCACAAGGAGGAAAATATCTATAAAACACAAAATCCTGAAAAGAGACGAGATGTCGACGCTGCTCAGCTGCAGCTCATGAATGAAGTCTAGCGGAAAGAAAAGCACCAATTAGACAGTCTGTGATTCATGGCGGTCATACCGTGAGAGGAAAACGTCTCCGCTGTACAAAGAGACAAAGGAGCTTTGTGTGCAGCCTGTGAGGGAGATCATGCTGAGGAGACCAACCGATGATCCTGCAGACATCCTGCAGGTTCATAGGTTGTCTCTGTCAGTCTGCACACAATGCAGCGTGGACACCCACAGATGACTCCAGTAAAAACTCAACAAAGTCTTCATTGTTAGTGGGATTGGCTGCATGCTGGGGGTCAGAGGTCACGCTCTGCTCCGCCTGAGGTTAATCCATATGGACACCATGCAATCTGCTGGTATTGGCACGTTTCTGAATAACAGCATCGCCTCGCAGGAGAGGAGTCAGATGAACAGCTATGAAGGCTGGGAGAAATGGAAGGAGGAAAGCTGCGGATTAGACATTTCATCCGCTCTAATTAATCACCATCAGATTGTCTGGTGTTGATGATTTAGGGAAAACAAAATTAAGAGCCTCTGGTGAATATTCAGTTTGACAGCTCTGTCACAGCACGGCGCGGCTGCCGTGACGAGCCCAGATCTGCTGATACTGATGTCCAAACTGCTTCTCACACTGAGAGCAGCTTTATTTAACACATGGTGATCTAATGTTCTCTGAGGGGTTCTGAGCCATCATCCAGCGGGTTCCCCGGGATCTCCTTCCAGTGGGACGCAGCCAGGAAAACATCCACAGGGAGAAAAACATCCCTGGAGCTCCTGCTTCTCCTTCACTCACCCGCCTGCAGAGGCCTGCATACAGCGAGGCATAAGGTGAGCGTCACACCTGACTCACAGCTTCCAGGATAACAACACAGCTCCACTCCACCGTGGTGGTGAGATTCTGGGCTGCAAACAGGATCTCACAATAACTGGAGTGACGATCAGCTCTGGTCTCTAACAGAATCCCCAAAAAGTAAAAAAAAAACCCAACAAAAAACAAGGTTTTTAGTTTTTATTGAAGACTTTACTGCACTAGCTGCTCGTTATTGGAAAGTAGGCCGACAGGAGCAATAGTGTCCCTACCAAAGTGGAAATCCTAAGTTTCATTAATGTAATTTTACCTTTACATGAGCATCAGGGAGCATTTTGTTTAAAGAGAAAAGCAGCATTTCTTGCAACATTTATACTAATTTTATAAGCACTACACTCACTAGATGTTATTTATAAATGTTTAAAGCAGCAGTGGCTCTGATGAATGTGGAATTAGGACTTTTTTTCCACTTTGAAAAGGTTTGCATTTAAACTTACCAGCGACTAAGACAGAAGCTAAATATGTGCCAACTTATCCAAATATAGTCTAAATATCAGGGATGGAACGGTTTATGAAAACCGTCCGAGCTGTTCGGTTCGACTGTCTCGGTTCGGTTCGCGTGTGTTGCGTTCGGTTCATGCGCTGCTCCTTTTTCTCATAGGCGAAGCGTTCACACTCCAGAGCAGAAGGTGGCGGTACTGCGACCAAAGCCAACCACCAGTAGTAAACAAGAAGAAGAAGAAGCGAAGCAGCGTAGCCGGGTGTAGCAGAAAAAAATCAGTTGTTGTGGAGAATTGTGTGGGTATGACGAGTGGGAAAGAACAGGAGCTGGAAGACGCGCCAGCAGCACTTTATAGGTCTGCTGTATGGGACCACTTTGCATTTAGAGTGACCTACGATGACGGCGGGAAGAAAGTTGAGGATAAAAGTGCAACAGTGTGCAAGCATTGTGCAACACGTTTTGTTTATGCTAACAGCAACACGACCAACATGTCATGCTAACCCTGAAATCCCTCCGTCAGCGCTCCGCTCCGCTGCGCTCCAGACCGGCTGCTCAAAGCAAAGCCTACAGCCTCCACTGTGGCTCCCGTCCGCTCCGCTCTGAGTTCCTTGGAGATGGTAGAGAGCATGCGCCAGATGATTAAATTCAAAGCAGCAAAACATGCGGAAATGATCCAGGGTTTCCGCGGATCATTAAAAATAATTACAATTCATTCATTTTTTTGGATTTTATCATTTATTTCATTAATTTTTATGAGATTTCAGGGTAACAATCAACATGTATCGAACCGAACCGAAAACCGTGACCACGAAACCGTGAACCGAACCGAACCGAACCGTGGATTTTGTGAACCGTTCCACCCCTACTAAATAAGCCCGTTATATGTGGATTTATCCTGTATTTACATTTGAAGATATAGAATTGTGCAAAGGCAAACAGGTGAAACACACTCCTATTTTTTAAATGCTCTCTCTGTATCATGAAAAATAAACGTCTCTCCAAACGTCTCCCATTCCCGAGGAGTAGACCCGTTCATCCGTTTCAGTTAGCATTTTCTCAAAACTAAAACCAGGCTTTGTTGGGCTGCTGGATAAAACCTGGAACTAAACACTATTTCTGATATTTTGAATTGAAAAATCTTCCTGGATGGAAGAGAAACGTCTTCAAACTGGAAACAAAGTCCAGTGGAGTGTTTTTAATTTTCTTTTTTTGGAAGGACTATGACCTGGATGACTGAAAATCTTCCCCAGCTGTTTGGATAATCAGCACCAAGTAATCTGGACTGACTTAACATGCGGCTGAGATCCCACCTAAACGCTGAAACATTACCTGCTTTCAGGTGTTACAGGTCACTGATTCTGTTTGAATCTCAGCGGATAAATGATCATTTCTATCTGCACAGACATTTTCACGGCCAACCTAATAGATCTGCTGAATATCAGAACACTTTGGGGGGTTTTCTCCTCTCCTCTATATCTGTGCCTCCATGACTCCATCTGTTAGCTGCGGTTCTTTATTCACCATAAACCAATCTGTCGGTTTAGAAAACTAAAGCTTGTAACAATAAAAGCTGAGTGGAAGTGGATCAGGCTAATTCCTGGAAAGACTGCTTCTATTACCGCCGGGGCTTAGATGGAGCCGGGGGAAATCTGGGGAAACACACCCACACGGTCCGGCTTTATTAGAGTCCAGTGAAGCTGAAAAGCAGATTTCCACTTCATTACCGCTCCTCCGAACCCTGAGGTCAGAGGTCGCCTCTCAGCAACAAGCGTCTACTTCCCGCTACAACATACAGGTGTGTGTTTACACGATATCAGGTGCTAAAATTCAATCACATCAGAACTGTTTAAGAGGCAGGATTTTATAAATTAGGTGCTGATGTGGAATCCTAATCATAAAACTGGGTTTATTGTTTTAAACTCTGCTGTTCTTTAGGGAATTACCGTAAATCCTCTAATATAGGACGGGGCCTGCATTTCACTCAGGTGCATCTTGGTCCAGGCCATTATTGGAAGGAAGCCAGAATTAGAGGCTATTTCTATTTGATCCAAACAGACGACCAGTGGAATGAATAAAAAACAGATTTTGTGTCTCTTTGAACCTATAAAATATTAGGTTCATTTACTGAAAAAGTACAGTTACCATAGCGATATACAGAAAATTATTCAGACATCTTCCAGCAGCTGCAATTTTTCTGCAAGGCAATGCGAAAAAAAAAAAGACAGAACGGAATCTTAGCCAAACTGACTTGCGAAACCAAGTTTTAAAAAAAAATAATGGAAACTGTTCTGCCATCACTGCAAATTTTTATTTGAGGCAGGCTAAGTGGAAGTAGGCTACCAGTATCGTATATTTCAAGGGAAATTCAGAGCAACGAAATTCTGTCATTTTAACGCTACCTGGTTCTCAATCACATTTGTTTTTTTAGATCAGAACGATCGTGTGGCTGGTTATACTCCTGCAGCAGTGTGTCGCAGTGAGCTTGATGCAGACATTTTTTATTTATGCTTAATATTAAAGCGTGGTCTGTGCTACACGCTGTGGGTCTAGATACGGCCGAGGCGGAGAGGAAGTGGAGGCGAGTTTCGTCCGACAACAGAGGGACATGACGGTCTTCTAGCTGCTCCATCTTCACGAGTTGTTTTCCGCAATTTCGATCGAAAAACAAAACAAGCCGGCCTCCTGTCTGCGGCACTGTCTGCGCTAGCGATGGGACTTCCTATGCTAACGGCTTGGATTGGTTAGCAAACACTGCCCCCCTGTGGTACTTGTATGTTACTATCACAAGTTGTTGAGGACTGCCCAGGAACATCGTTGGTTCTAATTATAGCCCCGGCCTATGTTAGAGGCCGGCCATTATTTACCTCCGCCGACAGCGAGACCGGCCATTATTAGAGACCCGGCTGCTAATAGAATACAGGCCAATATTAGAGGATTTACGGTAAACTAATTTTTTTCCCAATTAGTGAAATAAACTATAAAGAAAATGAATTTAAACCTGATATGGATTATAATCAGCCTGAATACTGAAACCAGAGCAGGAGATAAAGAGATCACTCACCCAAAGGAGAAGACCTGACTGGGCTTCTTCATGGTCACCCAGGAGCTGATGAGACAGGTGATCAAACTGCAAGTGAGAGGAGGAAGAGCAGGTAAGGAGAGAGGAGAGGAAGGGTGATGGCAGGGAAAGAGGAGAACGGGTGATTGAAGGACGGTTGGAAGGGGAGAGAAGAGAGAGGGGCAAATAAGGAGAGGCAGTGAGCGACGAGTGGCAGATAGACACAGAACCAACCAATGGGGTCAGCCAGGGGTCACTTATCACGACCCCACAAACCATTTCATAGAAAACAATCATCATCACTTCGGCTTAAACAGCCATATAGGTAGAGTTACAAGCAGTCGATACATCCCTAACCGCTGATCCAGACCCAAACTAAACCCCGCTGAAATAATCTGGGTAAGGAAAGGAAGAACTCACCTGAACAGGTCGAAGATGGTGAGATATGTGTAGGCGGTTAAAGCTGCAACGACAGAGGAGATAAAAATCCTGTCAGTGGTGAATCCCAGAGCCACACCGTGCAGACTGTTCTTATTCTGGACATAAATATGAAGCTGGTTTCAGAGACACGACCTGCAGCAATGAGTGCAGGCAGTTTTAAAGGAAAAGTCTGCTCATTTTAAAGCTTTATTTCTCTTTTGTTTTTCCTCTTCTGCTCTATTTACATTCCAGTGTCCATATAATCTGTAAAACTCCCTGCATAATTATGATAAAGCAATTTATATGCATGAAACAAGCTGAACACTATGGAGATAGCCGTACTGCTCCACTGGTGAAAGTAAAATCTGTTAAGCTCTTTTTGGCATCAAGACAATTATTCTTATTGCCAGACAGGACTGTTAAAAAATAAATAAATAAATAAATAAAGCTTTATTTCAAGTTAATTCCACACGTTTCAGTCACACAGATTTAATGTGGTTTTCAAAACCAACCAACTAACCAATCAACTTTTTCTTTTTTATAATAGACGTAGATCTACTAAAATTATGTTCAGATTAGACATAAATAGACCTCCAAACAAAGGTCATGAGGGATGAGAATGAGTCACAGCCTCCTTCATGGCATGAAGGGAGGACTGCTGTTTAGAGGAGATCCATCTGACCAGTTTAAGATATGTTACCCTAACAGGGAACGGCCTTGATGAACTCAAAACATGTTTAAGTGGGAGAAAGTTCTTAATGCAGGGGGTGGGTTGGTTCCCCTGGGGGGAACGTGTGTGTTGGGATTTTTGTAAGGTATAAATGTAAGTACTGAGGTTGCCTCGGTCCTCTGTCTGAGGACCTTAACCTTAACCCTATAATGCCAAATGTATCGTATTTGATACATACGGTTTCTGAAATGTTTTGCGTCTGACACCTTTTGCATAATTTAATGGTAAAAACTTTGCTCAAAATCCTATTGTACACAATCAGATATACCTGATAACAGCCAGCAGAAGACTACACAAAAAATAATCTTGACTTATCGCATAGTAATAAATTATTAACCCCTAGAACCCTACCGACCCACCGGCGGGTCCAGCTGCTACGTGACCTCGTAATTTTACCAAACCCCCAGTATTGATGTAAAAAACACATTTGGCAAAAAATGCAAAATATTTTGTATTTTGTCCCTAATATTTCAGGCAGGGTCAAAGCTACAATGGTGCTGACACCAGAAAACCATTCTATGACATCTTACCTTTACAGAGGTACCAAAAGTTTCTTCTTAAATCTAATAGCTTTGAGGCTATAAGTTATTTACTTTTGTGTGTTTTTGTCAGGCAGAAATGTATTTATACCCCCTTAGGGTGTAAGAGGTTAATACCAAAAATGTATTTCTGTTTTTTTCTTTTTACATATTTTGTTAAAAGGCCAAATAAGGACTTCAAACAAAAAAAAAAAAAGTAATTTTCTTTTATTCTTGGATCGGGCTTTAAAGTGTTAAATACATTTTGAATATTGTCTTGCAAGAGAGGAAGGCTCCTCCTCAAGTCCACGGTCTAAACTTTATTTGCTGGGTTTGCAGATCCAGACTTGTTAGAACCAGACAGTGAGGTTCTAGGATTGTGCACACCGGCTACAGCTCAGGATCAGGGACCGAATCGCCTCTGAAACTTTTCTGATTTGGTTACTACAGAGCAGCCTGATGAGTAAGTTAACTAGTCAACCCAAACCAAAGAGTAATCAGTGTATTAACTAATTAAATAGTGAGAACAGCCTGGCTTCAAAACAGAAAACCAGTCAGTCCATCTGTCAACCTTCCCCCTGTCTGTCTGCAGAAACATCTGTCTTCCGGTGGTGTCTGTCTGTCTGTCCGTCTTAATGCGTGCCAACCAGCTTTCTGTAATCAGTGCCGTGGGGGAAGAGGGGGCAGGATTAGAGCGGCTTTGTGCTGAGAGGAACATTTTGTTTCCCCACTAAAACAGTCCATGTTGGCCAACCTGACGCCCTGTAATCCTCCTGACAGAGAGGCTCACGGCAAAGACCCGCAGAGATGGACGGGATGGGGGGGGGGGGGGGGGGGGGGGGGGGCACACCAACAGCCTGATAGATGGATGGGAACATCAAGGCAGATAGACGGGTGCAGAGAGAGAGCGCAGAGGTGAGAAAAAGCAGCAGACAGGATGATGGACAGGTGGACGGACAAACTGACGGAGGAAAAGTGAAGGAGTGAGAAAGAGTGTGAGAGTCTAGTTAACAGATGAAGAGCAGCAGACTGGGAGAAAGAGAAGAAGAGGCAGATCCTAATAAAAACAACAGATGAATGCTTTAAAGAAGAGTAAGAACCAAAGATCAGTCAACCTGATTGGTTAAAGGAAACGTCTGGATCATTATTTATCCCTAAAACTAATATGTTTGCAGCGATTTAATCATTTTAGAATTAATCAGTAAAAAATAAAAATAAAATTATGTATTGATCACTGAGTCTGGGAGCGGCCATTTTTGCTTTAATATAGTGATTTATACACCTGCAACCAGGCTTTTACAAAGGAATATTTCACAGGGCAAACACATTGGTGTATACCCTATCTATGTTGAAAACTAGACTCTGAAACTCTACTTCCTGCTTTTTGAGGTGGAATGTAAATTTTTGTCTTTGTTCCAAACCTACTTTTGTCCGAAGTTAGGGAAGTGTGTGTGCTTGGCTAGAGGTGGAAAGTTCCTAATAAAGATATGAGATCATTTTTAGGTTCAATATTATGTTTCATAGGTTAATTAAAAACATCAGAAAGTCTGATGCTACGTTCGAACCGAACGCCATCAAAGAAGCTTCTGCTGCTTCATTTCTGATGCTTGTCCACATTAAAGCAAAAGTCCGGTCAGCAAGGAACGATCAATTCATCATTATTTATACCTAAAACTAATACGGGTGCAGTGATTAAATGAATTTAGTGTTAATCGTATAAAAATAAAAACAATATTTTCATCGCGATCTACCTAAAACAAAAACGTTTGAGATCATTGAATTAATTTTAGGGCTGCAACTAACGATTATTTTTAAAATCGATGAATCGGATAAAAATATTTTTTATACTAACCTCTTTATTCCAAAATTTTTATTCCATTTTAGACAGAACAAACAAGCACACAAGTACAGGTTGCTCATTAACTGTCCTGGTGCAATATGAAAAATAAATGTTTGTGTTAAAACTACGCAAACTTACATGAGAAATGTAGCTGTACATCCACAAAATATAGGCTACTTTGTTTCATAAAGCGCAAAAAAAGACATTTTTGTTTTTAAAGCCCCTAAGGGGTTCAAACAATAGGCCCCCCCATTTCAACAAATGAGTTTTTTTAGACTAGAAGAGTTCTGCCTTTTAAGACAGGAAAGTATAGCAGTTAAAGTTGCTACTTGAGAAAATACTGAACCATAGAGATAAAAATAGCCCTGTGATTCAAATTATAAATCGTATTTGGAATAAAAATGAGAGAACTAGGGGTGCTAAAAAACACATCCTCCAAAGACAGATATTTACATGGGAATGTGGCAGATAATTAATGGACATATTACTGATCTTGCTGGATTTTATTCTGCTTTACTTCCATAAATTGCAGGATCTTCTTTACTTTATCTTTGCCAGAAGATTTAAACTTTAAAAGCCTTGCCCTCATAATTTGCAAGTTAATTTATTTATAAAGAAAATATAAACGCTGCTTAAGCTAATTCAAAGGAAATTAAAAGTAAAATAAGTAGCCAACCTTATCACTGTCTGTAACCTACTAACACGGTAAGGAAAGCATCAGATGAGCTACCTGAGAAACTAACGTAACGTTTCCCCACTTTAAAACCAACCAAACATGGCCGCTCATCCTGCTGATCAGCTCTCTGCCATCGAAGGCTCCAACGTGTTTCCTTTTCAGGTGCTGCGTCATAACAGTGGTGCTTCCGTGCCATGTTCATTTGTTTTTACAAAAGTTGCATGTTACGACTTTTTTTCGCTTTACAAAGCGCAGGCTGTTTTAATTACTGTGATCAATTTGCGGCGTCAATCCCGGCGCATGCCAGCTTCATTTGCAGTCTGGACGCTGAGGGTAAACTCCTGCGGGAGCGGAGTACCCTCAGCGGAGTTGGGATGTGGGAGGCGCCCCACGGCAATGACGACGGCGGCGGATGACGCATTAATCGCGTGACACAACTAATCGATGATGAAATTCGTTGCCAACGCTTTTAAAAGTCGATTTTTATCGATTTTATCGATTAGTTGTGGCAGCCCTAATTAATTTAGCAGCAATCAGTAAAAAGAAATGAAAACAAACATTTTTAAAAAATGTTCATTAAATTTTTTCCTCTTAGACATTGGAGTGGTGCATTTAAATGTTATAGAGCTAAACATGTTAGATTGGTGAGTAGTAGTAGTGTCAGTTTTTAACCTGTCAAGTTTTTTTTTAGATTTTTAACATTACAATTTATATTTTTCCAAGCACACAACAGTTTAAAGCAAAGTTTAGTTTGAAAAGAATGTGCAGGAAGGATTGAAAAGCATGTTAACACGGTAATGTAGGCTGGAGTTCATTATCTGACGCATGCAGATACACACCAGGAACCTGGAAACTTAAAAAATACTGAATTACAAAAAACATTTAAAAATGTTTCATTGATATATATACAAATATGAATATTAGGAACTATATTTATCAAACATTATACTGGGCAAGTAAAAATAGTTTCTGGGCAAATGAAATGTGAAAGTCACTTGCCTGAAGGAGACGACAAGTTATAAATTGGTTTAACACACCAGAATCAAATAGGTGAATTAGCTCCTAAATATAAAATTAACTTTTTATGTGACTGAGCATTTAATTTCAAACATACTTAATATATTGGAAAGTTTACTTATAAGAGTCTTGCTGTGATATTGTTTTATCATCATGTTGGGGAAGCAGGCAGAAAAATAAGCAAACATCATCAGTCCTGATTCCCCATCTTTCTTCATCAGATGGATCGTTTTACATCTTCATGTTGTTGCTTCTCTGCATC